TAGGGGCTCTGCTCAGCAATGAATGCAGTATCTTCAAAACACAAAATCATACTTTTTTCCATTTCATAGTTCAAAAAGAGGAGGGATCTGAAGGAAGGGAAGCCTAGCAAATTAACATTGAGATATCTAAATGTATTTATGTATATAATCTATTTATTTCTCATACCGCAATTGATTCCTTTACAAATGCGGCATATTCTGAGAACCAGTGTTGGACACCTCAGGCTCAGTCACACCTCCCCCTCCAGGGATCCGCCCCCTGATGGCCTCTTCAGAAGGCAAATCCAAGTTTATTTTGCATTCTCTCAGATCCTTAAACCAATTTTTATTGTCAAAGAGATCACAATCCTTGTTGTATACAATTTGGTAAAATCTGTTTGAGGATGGAAGATTGTCAGTCAAGTTTACATACTTGCTCATACGGAGGTTTCACACTTACGCAGTCTCATAATCCTGGTCTTTCAATTGTCTCATGAGAGACACTTGATTATCAACAACAGCCCAAATAGATTCACACCCTTTCCCTCCTTTCATGACCAAGCGCGCGGCCTCTCGACGCTATTGGGAAAGAAACATTGGGTGAGCACATCCTATTTTCATTACACACAGTCCTCTGTCACTTAAAAGATAGGCAATCTGACTCTGAGTGGGTAAATTGGTAGCAATCCAAACGGCTTCCACCACGGCTTTTTTGCGCGCAGTCCCACATTGAACAGCAACCTACATAGTTATAGAGGAAGTTGATGTTTAACTTTCTCTATGCAAGTAAGCATATAAAATCATGTGCTTACTCGCTGCATCAAGTTCTTGATGCTTGGTACTGAAATATTGACACGCTTGCCGGTTTTGGAGTTGCAGATCCCTGTCAAGAGCTGGAGAAAACTGTGAGTACTGATCCAACATTTGTTAGCACATTCATACTGACCGTATTATGCAGTTTTTCTCTGGCTTTTTTGCCAGCGTCTCGGATGACGCTTGCATAGCTTTGCGCATCGGCCAAGAATTCTACTCCACCGTAGAGGGGAGAGAGGTGCAAGGAAGCAAATACTGGACCTTTTTGCTCACTTGTTCCTAAAACAGTGAGCATACTTTTAGACCTTGTCAAACCTCAAAGTCTAATAGATTAATGTGACTATACCTTGATGGTGTTAAATAGTGAGTCCGCAAGATATCCCTCTGGCTTGTTTTTGATGGCGGTGTATGAATGGATTAATGGCAAAAATACAAGCTTCAGCGCCAAGGGTGTAATCATGTCCTGAGCAGATGTTCAATCAGAGTCAGAACATGTCTTATGACCCATCAAAAAGGCAGTTGTGACTTACTATCAGGGTTGAACTTGGTGTCCACTCTTTGATTCGGCTGTGGCTGTTTGATGCAACTGCCGTTTCTGGTCGCAAGACCAGGTTTGATTGAGGTCGAGAGGTAGTCAACTCAATAACCACACAAGTCACGTTTCCAAGGCTCTTGGTTAGTGTGTCAATCTTGCCATTGACCCAGGAGAGTTCCTTGAGAAACAAAGCCTGAGCAGTCGCTTGTGCTAAATGGCGATTGTTCTCCCCATATACCTTTTGGGCAGCATGGGTTGCCCATGGCCCAATAAATAAACATGGTTAGTATTCAATACATGTATCATACTAGGACAGGGACATTCACCTCTGCTTGCGCCTTGGCAAATCCACAATATTTGCCTTCCAAACCACACTGCTTGGCCATGGACTGAAACGTAATCATGGTCAATGCGGGCAGTGGGCAAGTGTACATGGTGGGATCCAAGCCACTGTGCTCGTCCACGGACCAACTGCACTGGCCAAGAGACTGACCTTGCTGCACTGGCCAAGAGACTGACCTTGCTGCAAAGGCCCTGGTGCAATTGCGCAATCATTCCAGCTGCCACCGGTGTAGAACTCCTCCTCTGTGAGGGGAAGAAACAAACCCAAGGGGGATAAACCTCCAGAAGTTGTAACTAAAGTGCTGCTAAGCTGCCCTCAAAAGTACACAAAACCCTTTCTTCCAACAGTACCACCACCAAAACTAAGTTTCCAACCTTGTAAATCCAATCTACAAGCTTTAGGTCAGTCTTAAGATTCCCCAAAAAGGTCCCGCAATTCAAAAACAGATGTAAACAAGCTGTTTTTTACTATGCTTTTCCAATTGAATCCTTTTAAAACCTTCCCGCAGCAAAAGAAAAAAATAAAAAAAACCTTGTTATTCCTGCAAAACCTTATTCTCCAACTTCTACCTTTCCCAAAACTACCCCACATGTCCTACTACCTTCAAAACCCAAGCAGTTACACCTGTAACTAGCCTAAACCTACTTAACCCCCCTAAAATTTGAGTTTCTGACCTGTTTTGGTCAGAAACTAAAAAATAAAAAAAATAAAAAATCCCTAAATTCAATTTTCCCTTATAACACTCTAAATTCACCAATATAAGGGTTCTGATATCCCTATAACACTCGATAAAAGGTAAGTCTTTCTTTTAAAGACTTTCCTTTCTTTCTCTTTTCCTTCTTCTTTCTTAACTTTCCTTTTTATCTTTACTTTTTCCTATTTACTTTTAACTGACTTTATATTTTCCTTTGCCTATTCTTTAGCCCTACTCTACTTGATTCAACTTGATACCAAGGCTGAATGGAAAACCAAAAAAGAAAAAAAAAGACCTCCTACGGTTACTAATGAACAAAAACAAATGAACAAACATTTGTTTGTTCTTTTATACCCAAGATCCACCTCTCTACCCTAACCTAAGTAAGTCCTCTTTTCTTTGTTTCTCTCATTCCGTTCTTCTAACCTCTTCTTGACTCGCTTACTGACGTGTTTCATCTTTTTTCTTTTTATTTGTTTTAATTTTTACATTTTTAATTTTTATATTTGATTTGGTTCTATCCAGTTCAATATGATTCGATCCAAATCAAATCCTCTGTTTCACCTCCTCTGCCATTGCCTTGTTGGTTTGTCCCTCAATTGAAATCAATTGTCTGATTGATTTCAATCAAGTTGGTGAGTCATCTCATCTCATTTCATTTTTTCTTCTTCTTTTGTTTCTTTTTTTCAAGTTTAGTTCTTTTGCTGAGGATTTTTTGTTTTGTTTTATCTCTTGGTGACTTTTAAACTAGGTTGATGAGGATTGTTGTTACTGATTTCAATGTTCATGTAATTTTGATTTGAATTGTTTATTTGTTTCAACTTTTCTTGTTTTATCTAATGTTGTCTTCTGATTGTATATGTACTTAAATCAAAGAATTGGCTCATTGAGAATGATGACTCAAATTAAAATGATTTGTGCATATTTAAAAAAAACTGAGTTCAATAAAAAATTCCCCAAGAAATAGATGTGAGAATAAACCATGATTTCAAGGATGAGCTCAATAAAAATAAAAGCTTTGGAGTTTCCAAGTAAAATAAGATGTTTCATTTTTTTTGCTTTCATATAGATTGCTTCCCACACCGGATGGCCTTCGTGCTTGCGGTGACATTAATTGGTTGTTGTGAATGCAAGATCCGGGAGGGAAAGGGGATCTTGCAGGGTTTGGGTCCGAGTTGGGCGTTTGCTGGGAGTTGAAACCTTAAGGGTGATCCCCTAGAGTATTGCCACCTCTAGGGGAATCACCGAACCCTGAGGATATCACAAGAAGGTCAGTGAGGTCAGACTTATGTTGACATTGGGCTTAGACGTACCTGAAGTGTCTCTGAGCGCGCTGTGATTGTTGAAACCCTGTGTGGTGAGTCCAAGCTCATTTGGACTGTTGATGTTGGCAAAGATACTGATTACAAGAAACCCAATCAAATTGATTTTTCAAAATCAATGGGACTTTGCAAAAAATTTGGACGCCACCACTCCAGACCCAGACATTTAATGCGTGTGATTGGCCCACACATGAAATTTTTGGGTCTGGAGCGGTTGCGTTGACCCAAATATGGTCACTTGAGACGGCTGTGATGATGTGATTTGAGCAATCACATTGACTTGCTTGAATTTTAGTCAATCAAACTTCAAGCAAGTCATTGCCCCCCCATTCTAAAACAAACAACAGCACGGGAAACTCCGGAGTTTGCCGTGCACAAGCTGCCCATTTCTCCCGCTGTGTCCTTAATCTAAACATTGGCCTCACAACACCACATTGCAAACTGAAATAAAAAAATTAAAAACCTTGGAAGACTCAAAATGGGATATTTACTCACCCCAATCAAGATCAACACACCATTCATATCTCGCAGGGCTGTGGATGTAATTGATTGCGTGCGCGCCAAAGGTCAAGATTTCTCCGATTTTGACCACTTGCTTGATAATTTAGTTTATCACAAAATGTGTTACTACGCCAGCTTATCGTCGTGTTTGCAGCGGAATGCTTGTGATCTTGAAGATTGGTTAGATTGTCTTGATCAAGAGATACGGTGGAGGACCAAAAAGGTGGATTACCTGGTATCACCACTGCCTAAGTTTGATATGCTTTTGATTGGGTTGCGCACAAAGTTGTTTTGGCAATGATCTGAGCAACTGTTCATGGTTGTTGAACAGACGTCCTTTCTCTGGCTACAACCGCGCATGAAGCTGTCATGTGGCTTAAATGGCAATATGATATTGAAAGTCAATCTTCTCACTATTAAATATTGATGATATTTTTATCATTGACATGTTTCATTGTGGTATTTTGCAGATTGATTCCCCTGTAATCAAACATATTTACAATTAGGTATTATGGGTTGGGATTTGCAGTTTTCATTGACTTGATGATCATGATTGATTTTGAAACTCTGGGTATATAATTGGGCTTTTGGCATAAATCACAGGCAATAATTGACATCAACACTGGATTGTATTTCATGTTCTGAATGTGTCATATAATATATATTCAGTGAAAACCTCAGGATGCTGCTTTTTGTTGGAGTGTATGTTGTTATGTGCTCACGTAACTGTACCGGTACAACCTTGTATAGGGGTTTGAGTCCCCTTAGTTGATACTAGGAGCCATACCTGCCTCCCCACCTGATTCACATAAAGCGTCTGTAGCTCAGTGGTTAGAGCACTCATACGGATTAAGAGGGTTGTGGGTTCAAGTCCCACTAGACACATCATTTCATTGTTCTAACACTTTTGTGATATGGCCTGCAGTACAATTTTTCAATACATAGGTGCATTGGCCATCTTATCACTCATTTTCATCTTGAGTTGTGTTTGGCCCCTTCTTACCTGCCTGTGGTTCTGAATGCCAGTGCTTGAGACCTAAGCTGATGGCACTGTTCCATTCAGCCTGTGAAACTTCAGGAATTGGTAAGTCAGAAAGCTGACAATGAAGGTTTCCTGAGTAGTGAGAAGCAGCAATTATAATGCAAGAGGGTGAGTCCATGTGGCGGACTCCCCAGAGTCCAATGGACGAGATGTTCCACTCAATGTTCTTGCTGTGGTTTTTGGCCAATCAACATTGGGAACCATGGCAGTTGTGTTGGATGTTGAGCAGACAGGCAATATTCTGAGGTGTATGAATTCATATCATTGGTTTTGAACATACTTCAATCACGTTCTTTTAAGCAAAGGTACATACTTTCACATTTGCAATGACAATTTCCTCAGTTACATTCACTTCCTGCATTCCATAGAATTGATTCACTGAGCCCAATTCACAGACTTTGACTATCAAATTGGTCTTAGTATCAGACACTCCATCAAGCCTCCATATAGATTGTACCTGTCCAATGGCTTGAGGTCTTTCAACCTGTAACAAAAGAAGGATTCATCAGATGAATCCTTCAAAAATATCTACATAATAGCAAAAGCTAAAGGATTGGTGATCAGACTGACCAGGACAAAGTCATTCTTCTCAGCCTTGTGATGCCCAATCAACTTGATACTTTGATATTCTTTCAGTTGTGAAAGGTCCACACTGTGTGGAATGCACAATGGTACAGCCGATTTGGTCTTGCATAAACCTGAGGATTGAAGTTAGTATTTTAAACTATCCAAAAATGAAAAACATTTGAACTCACGGCCAATTGAATAGGTTGAGATAGAAACTAAAGAGCGGTCCATCCCCATTGCTTGATAAAGCTCAGGTATGGTTGACAATAATGCTTGGAGACACGGCCCACTGAAAACTCGACATTGCTGATCATCTGACAAGTGTTTGAGGCTGATGCATGTCGTACCACACCATTGAATGATTCAAGCTTCTTGGTTGCAAATAGACAAGTGGGACCAAAACGTCAAATAGATTCTTGAAGGTGAATAAGCATGTGAAATTTTGGTTTGTTGACAACGTGCATTGAGGGAAACAAGGTTTTTCAGGATGATGAGATTTGAATGTCCAGTTCAGCTACGTACTTCTTCATGTCGGGTATACTGGTCTGAAATATATAAGAGCTCATAAGGCAAAGAGAAGACCACATTTCCCTTTTTGCTTTGGTGATGTGTTCAAACAACACAAATGGGACAGTCTGTAACACAATCTGGAATTCCTTTCCCACTAGACTCTGGTAATATGTGATCATTGTGTTTGGTTGGATAGGGGGATTTTTCAAACCTGTAGCGTTGAAGGACCTCCATCTGCCAAAGATATTTTTATATGTCTTTGAGCCTGATTTAATATTTCCAAGATCTTTCATCTGATCACAAAATAGATATGTAGTGATACCCAATAATACCACATGAAGAACTTTGACTGGGGTGTCTTTAGGACCATCAAATCCTACAAAATCTCAAATAATATTAGATCACCAAAAATATAACCCACAGTGATTTCAATTCCAAACTTACCTTTGAGCCTCAGCATGGGACCATGTTGATCATTAACTCGTTTACAGATTTGAGCGACTTCCGGTGCTTGCAGTTGCTTGTGTGCCGCTTGAACGTTCTTCATAAAATGTTTGTTCATACAATCTTGCACCCCAAAGTTGCTCATTGGTACTGTAGTCACTACCAAAGCAAGCAGGAGTTAATAAGAAGTCATTGCATATTCCAAGAGTGGGTGCCTCACTTTAGATCATCTACTACCTGGTCAAACATCTCAAGAGCAGTTGCACAATTTGGGGTTGCTAGGAAATGGATATTGAATTCTTTATTGGACAAGGCGGGCGGTAAGCCTGCAAGAGTGAAGTAGATACTCATGTGTTTGTTCCATTTTTTGGCCACGTTCCCCAAAGTGTCATCCGAGTATAGGGCCAATGGTACATGACAGATCACTTTGCCTTGAGCCTTTTCTCGCCATGGGTTGGTCATTGGGTATGCTGGTTGCACTGAATGGTCAGAGTCTGAGAAAAATTCTGCAATATCAACTTTGTTTGTATAGAATCTGTGTTAGAGATGTGAAAGGCCTCTTACTGTACATATAATTGCTACACATATCTTTGAGAAAAACTCCATCTGCCACCTCAATATTGAGACATGTTTGCCAAAGGTTTTTGCAAGGTATGATAACAAGTATGTCTGAGTCAAAAGCAGCATCTCCTGGTATGATCACTTTAAAACAAGCCAGGGAATGCAGATCTTGTTTAAATATTGCTGGTAGACACCTTGCCATAAGACACGCATCTTGTTGAAAGAAAAAAATTGGCACCACTAGTTGCTCAGTTTGAAGTTGGACCGGCTCATAGACGTAATAGTGGCAAGACTCTGATGATATGATTTGAACACGGAGGTCAGGTGGATAATCTTCACGCCACTTTTGGCACTGCTACAAGCGGTTGATTGTAACATTGATTCTGAGTTTGGGAACATAAATCAAATGCGGGCTGACTAAAGGGTTGACCAACTCCTTCAAAGATGTTATGAGTTAGCCATATCAAACAATTGTGGTCCATTGTGTAAAGTGTGCTCACATTACTTATGATCGTCTTGATGTCCAATCCAAACAGTGAATTTTCACAAGGACTTGTCCTTTGACGTATTTCAAGACCTAACTTGAGTTTCCTTTTTTGACCAGTGCTCTCAACGTACCCCATTCCAGAATTTTGACATTGCAGATACAAAGTATTGATTGGATGAAATGGTATTGAGTACGTGAGAGGAGGCTCCGGTTTGAGCTGGTCATGAGCAAAGCAATCCCAATCAGACAAACAATAATAGTTGAGTGAAAATGAATGATTTTCACACCATAGTCATGTATCTGACCTCTTTTTTCTTGAACGGGTACCATCCTGCAGCCTGTTCCACTTTGACAGCGGCAAGCTCCTTCTCAAGTTCTTCCACATCTTGAGCTTCAACTTCTGCATTATCATCAAAGCCAGTTCCAAGGGTGTCAATAGCTTCTCAAAGCATACCAAAATCCATGCACTCCTCTGCATTGTCTGAGTGGTCTGAATTGTAACCATTGGTTTGGCTGACTGTTTCCAAGAATGAGCGGAGGACAGTGAGCGGAGATGGCGGAAAATCAATATTGATGTCTTCAAAGTAGTGATCTAGGTTTTGCACAGCAGGTGGTGTTGGAGATCTCTGTAGCTCAATTTCTTGATCAATGACTTGGTTGGCTGCTTGTCTGGTCAAGAATTGCTCAGCTGCTATTGAGTGGGCAGCTGAAGCAACATGTGCGCCATAAGATTTCATAGTCCGGCTGGCGGTGCACACTGCACATTGATATCTTATTGGGTTATGACTTATCTGGACAATATCTGCAAAAAGTTTGGTAAGTCATGTATCACAGCATTTGAGACCATGACTGTAACTTACGCCGCGGTGGCCTTTCATTATGTGAGGTGCTCATTATAATGTTCAGCTTTGGAAGATGAGGTGTGAAGTTTGCGCGGGCTGTGGAGTGGTTTGGCACGTGGTGAAGTGGTTTGGCCAGGGGGGAAGCTCAGAACAGGGCCTCGGGGAGAATCGGATCAGGCAATTGGGGCCGCGTCCTGGCCTGCCGGCTGGAGGCCGCCTGCTGGCGGTTGACAGGCAAAATCCAGATTGGATTGGCCTGCAGACCTGCAGGCCGCCTGCACCCCGCCAAGAGCTGGCCTGCTTGGCCGCCTGCAGGCAATCTACAGCTCTGACTGATCTCAGACCTGGTCAGACCAATTTCTGATCCAAAGTCCCTCTGTGGTGTAGTGACGTTTCCGGGGCTGCAATAGTTTTACGCTACACAAGCCCTGGATTACATATAAGTTGCAACATGTCAAATTTGGCCAGCGTCAGTACCGTATGTACAGCAACAGCATAGCCAGATTTCCTAATAGGCTGCAACAGTTCATGCCCTTTCACTAACCTTGACCTATTGACCCTTTCATTTGACACACCATCAATGTTCATCCATCAGCACTCATCGGAATCAATGATGATGATTGTGTGTATGTGCTCACCCTGCATGACCAAGACAAGTACCACCAAAAATGGACACAAGAAGAATGGCCAGTTTGTCACTCATCAAGTTCAATTGCAACATCATCTTGAGGACCTAGAAGGCCCTTCAGCCCATACTTCAAGCCATAGGGCCTCTCCAGAACCGCAACCATTGGACAATAATCAAGCTGCCGACTACGCTGTGTTGGATTCAGCATCTGAAGAATTACAACTAGATGGGTGTGACGCATCACTAACAGGTGAGCCATCTTAATGACCATTCATATCAAATCAGATATACCAGCTTATATATTCCACATATGAACTTAATTTCTGCACCTTAGTCATGACTCTTGTTGCCCTGTTTCTTAAATGGTTGAACTTGTTCTGCGGAGTCAGTCGTGCAAAGTGTAGGATGGCTAGGGATTTCATTCTGGAAATCCTAGGTCTGGCTGGCATCACCCAATCCTGGACAATACTGATCATCAAAAACTTCCAAAGGACATCTGCACTGCGCTCAAAAATCTCAAAATTGATCCAGAATTGGAAAAAAAGATTGGCTTTCCAGTATGCTTTACCCTGTACAATCTCTCCAACGCACCTTGGCGCTGCAAGTACAAGAAATCTCCGATGTCTCAAGTATGCACTGAAGAGCTCTTTGTGTTCAAGACTGTTTATCAAGGGATCTGAAACCACGGGACAACTCAAAAATACCCCAGCTTATTGAAGGACCTTCCATTGTCCAAAGTTGGCTATCCTTGGAATGTGTATGTTACTCAGAAATTATCTTTGTGGCTCTGTTGGTTCCTGTCCA